AATTTTAAACAAATTACTAAACCAAATTTGATCAGTCAGGAGTAATCTAGTCTATAATAAAGCGTTAAAGGGGAGACAAAAAAGGACGAACCTCAATAGCAACCCCAAGCTGGTGACCATAACCATGCTTTCCCCTTTTACTCACCCATGTGAATACATCCTTCTTGTGCCAGATTAGCAAAACACCATTATACCCATTGTAGGTTCCAAAGGTGTCGACCTCGTACGTACCTTGAAGTTGCGCCTTTATGTAGTTAATAATCGACGTATCAGCCCGAGCCTCCGTGACTACAACAACATCAGGGGTATAAGCTTTGAAAAGCTTAGTAAGAGTTTCAGCAAAGGATGGTCAATGAGCACAACGAGCATTCCACACAGTAACAATGGAACCAAGGGGGATAAGTAAGTATTTCGGGCAGTTCATTGTCCTTGTCACCGTAGATGGACACCCGGTGGTACCTCACCTTCGACTTCTCAGTCTTACAAGCGAAGACATTCACATGGATCATCTTCATCTCATCATGTACTTCCATGACATGAATGTCTGCACTTTTGTGAGAAAAAGCAGATGTCTCTCTTGGAGTTAAAGGGTAAACAAGGGAAGCAATTCAACTTTCACTCTAGGCTTCAAGTCAAACATTGGTACCAGTTCTGGAGGGATGAAGGTTTCATCCTCACCTCTTTCCTTTTCACATACCCACTTCACAAAGGCACCCACTCCATTCTTGCAGTACCCTTCCAAATTAGATAGAATTGGGCAGTAAGCGGGGCGACCATCGTTGTCACCTACCTCCATCACACTTTTGCGGATGAAAGTAGTGATGTTGTAGTCAAGGGACTGAATCAACTGGTCATAGAGTTGCTTCACGGGTATTGGGTCTGCCATATGGTAGTAGTCCATGCGATTGGCATAGTAGGGAGTGTTGTTGAAATCAAGCTCTGGTTCAAAAGTAGCAATGAAGGGGGTAAAGTAGAAGACAGGTGAGGTTGGGTGTGGTTGCATTGGAATTCCCCTAACACTAGCAAGCTTCCTGGTTTTTGGTTGTGAAGAGGAAGGTTCGGTGTTGTTTGACATTTTGGAGAGCAAATTGATTTTGGTATAGCAAAGGGCAAATGTGAAGATGGTTGTTGGAGGAGGTGAAACTATGAGTTTAAAGATAGGCCAAAAATCATAAATAAGGTCTTCCCTTCCTGCTCCCTCTTACTCACACAATTTAAATTTACATTGGTAAGGAAAAAAGGTCCCCTAAAATATGAAAATATCTTTTGACAAAAACAGCTTAGTAGTGTTAAAGTTTTATCCAACTGGTGAAGTAAATCCTAGAGCTAACATAATAATTATAGGATAGGAAAAGAGAAAAGTAAAACAAAGAAGAGAAGTGTACTTTTGCTAGAAGCTAAAGGGATTATTTTTCCTACGAAGTAAATTGTACATAAGCCACCCTTAGTTGTTGTGGTAGACCTGGTAGTTAGAATTACTGAAGCCATACCAACTCAGTTCATAACAAGACCAATTTTGTCTCGAGTTTTAGACCCTAGGAAAAATGTATATTTAACAAGCCTATTGCATTAAAGTATCACAATTGAATTGAGTAAGTGTATATTTGACAACAAAAAATCATAATTGGGATGTTTTACTTAGCCTAATATGGTATGGCCTTCCAGCTGCCTCTTACCCACACAATTTAAATTTACATTGGTTAGGAAAAAAGTTTCCCCAAAATCTGTTAGTAGCTTTTGACATAAAGAGCTTACTGTGTCAATTGTTTATCCAACTAAAGAAGTAAAGACTATAGCTGACAAAAATATTGTAGGATGGGATAATACAAAAAGAAAAAACAAAGAGATCAAAGAAGTGTACTTGACTACTTGTACTAGGTTGTAAAGGGATAATCTTTTCCTAGGATGTTCTTTTAAATTTACATTAGTTAGGAAAAAAAGTTTCCTCAAAATCTGTTAGTAGCTTTTGACAGAAACAGCTTACTGTGACAGTTCTTTATCCAACTGAAGAAGTAAAGACTACAGCTGACAAAAGTATTGTAGGATGGGACAATACAAAAAGAAAAAACAACGAGATCAAAGAAGTGTACTTGACTACTTGTACTAGGTTGTAAAGGGATAATATTTTCCTAGGAAGTTCTTTGTACAAAATTAACCTCATGTAAATTTACCCCCTTTACAACCCTTAAAATCTTAGTAGATGCGGTAGACCTAGTTTGTAACAAGTTAGAACTCAATTCATAACAATTTCCAAATTTGTGACAAGTTTAGACACTATTGCACGTCTTGAGAAAATGTACAATTGAATAAAAAATAATCAAGATTAGGATATTTGTATTAGTGTAAGTGTGCTATCCAAAAACCATCATCACCATCCCAACCAATTTACCCAGTTCATAACAAGTTCTAGATTTGTAACAAGTTTAGACCCTATTTCACGTAAATAATCACAACTGAGTAAAGAAAATGTACAATTGAATTAAAAATAATCAAGATTGGGATATTTGTAGCCTAATGGGCCCTGTTTTCCATTTCGAAGATATCATTTTAGCATGATTCTGAAATTTCATTTTTAGAAAATTTTTGCCAAATTCATCTTTATAAATTAGTGTAAGTGTGCCATCCAAAAACCATCATCACCATCCCTACCAATTTACTCAAATCACAACAAGTTCAAGATTTGTAACAAGTGTAGACCTTATTACACGTAAATAATCACAACTGAGTAAAGAAAATGTACAATTGAATTAAAAATAATCATGATTAGGATATTTGTAGCCTAATGGGCCCTTTGATCTCATTTTAGCGTGAATCTGAAATTTTCATTTTTAGCAAATTTCCGCCAAATTCATCTTTATAAATTAGTGTAAGTGTGTCATCCAAAAACCATCCTCACCATCCCAACAATTTTACTTATAAATGTCGATTAGTTCCACTAATAGGGCGACTCCAAGGGGAACCCAATTGAACAACTCGGACAATGATATTTCTTGGGTCTCTGGTAAGAGGTGCAACTGTGGTGGCAACACCATCGCCGAATTTCAAATTTCCCTATCCGAAGCCAATCCTAGAGGGCCATACTACAAGTGCAGGGCATGTAATTTTTGGCAGTGGGCAAGGGAGGAAGACCTGATCAGAATACCAACCGTTCAACACGCCTTTGGAATTATATGGGAAAGTCTTGATCTCATTGAAAAGACCATTGGAAAGTGCATCAAGATAGGTTTGACTGCTGCAATTATTCTGGTTTTCTACTACCTTAAGGGTTGAAATTTCTGAAGATGTTTATCGTGCTTTTATTAGTACCAAAACTCTGTGATTAGAACTAAATTAGAACAATCTTATATTATAGATAAATAGTACAGGATTATGTTCTTTTAATATAAATAAAGAGTTTTGTTTCTTGGTTCATTTTGTTATCTATCATGTTTATATCAACTTTATGAAGCATGAAATTAAAATCGAAGATTTTCAATCAAGTTCACATATATCCCCTCCATTAAACAGAGAATATTAGAGGGGGTCAAGGAATTCATACATTAAAAAGAAACTAAGAAGTAGCTTAATAATGTTCATCTCCATACATGGTACAAATAAAAAAGACCTCAACACACAAATCCTCATGCACCATCAGAATTCACCCTAGTTCGAGAATAGTCTTCATCAATGGCTTTGTTGCAATACCATTTGGAAGTAGGTGACACATATTGTGGAAGAAGAGTAGAAATAAATTAACACTAAATTGTGGTATAAAAATAAGTATAAAGGGTATCAAGTAAATTAGCACCAGAAATAGTTAAGAAACATTATTAAGAGGACATTATTAAGGGTAAGAAATAACCTTAATGGCAACACCTAGCTGGTGACCATAACAAGAGTTGCCCCTTTGTTGAACGTACAGGAACACGACATCTTTAGCCCATATATGGAGGACTCCGCTATAGTAAATGTTCGTTCCAAAAGCATCAACGTCGAATACTCCTTGAAGTTGTTCTTTAATGTAATCTATCGTCAAAATGTCACCCCGAGCCTCGGTGATCACCACAACTTCTGGTGAGTATACATTGAAAAGTTTGTCAAAGGTCTCTTTAAACGATGGCCGGTGAACACTCCGACCATTTCAAACTATTACAACTGAACCCTTGGGGAAATAAGGGGTTTCTGGTAAATGGGTGTGCTTACCATAACAAGAAACACGATGGTACCTCACATTTCTCTTCTTTGTTTTGCATGAAAAAACATTCACAACCACCATTTTCACCATAACATGGACCTCCATGATATGAATGTTTGCACATTTATCAGCAAAAAAAAGATGTCTCTCTTGTATGGGGAGGGTATAAATGGGTATTTCATCTGCTTTCACGTAAGGCTTCAAGTAAAAAATTGGAATGAGGTCTTAAGGGATGAAGGTTTCATCCTCACCCCTTTCATTTTCACAAAGCCACTTCGCAAAGGCACTCACTCCTTTATGGAGGTAGCCGTCCATATCAAATAGATTTGGGAAGTAAGCGGGGCGACAATTGTTGGTACCTCCATCGATCCATGACACTTCTGGGGATATACGTTGTTGTTCGGAAGTCGAGGGAATCAATCAATTGATCACGAAGGTGTTCCACAGGTATAGGATACATTTGGTACTATTCCGCATGGTTTCTATAGCAACTAGTACTAATGAAATCAAGCTCAGGCTTTGAAGTAGCAATGAAGGGACCAAAGTAGAAGACGGGTAAGGTTGGGTGTAGAGTCATGGGCCTCCCCCCAGCACTGGTGAGGTTGTTGGACATTTTACTGAGTTGTGTGGAGAGAAAGTAGAAGGCAAAGAAATTTTAGTGAGGTTAGATAGTTGGGAGAAGCTTTTGCACCAAAAAAAAAACAAAGTAGGGAGAAGCTTCAGTTATATTCTCCACACACCCCTACTTATTGTTTGCATTGAAGCAAAGATCCCTAAATTTCAGAAATATCATTTATCCATAAAAAACAACCTACTGACATGTTACTTAGTAGACCTGAACAATGCCATTATGCATAACTTTTCAAGAAAAAAATAAAAATAGTTGCTTCTCATCATCCAACATAAGAGACCTAAATCAACAAAGCCATATTACTACACACAGGCCCAAATTAACTGTAGCAATATTACTACATACATGCCCAAATGGCCTACATAAGAGGCCCAAAGTTCAAAATTATAAACCCAGATACAGAAACAATCCAAGACAAAAAGGTACATATAGCCGAAATGCTTTTTCGTTACTGAAACCAGTCAAGCTACGCCGTAATTTCAGAGTTAAGCCGCCTACACCCTCTTCGATCTGCAGGCAGAATTTCATACCATTTGTCCCTCACCTCATTGAATTCGTTGTTTGCATCGTGCAAGAACAGCTGCTGCCTAATGGTGTTGACCTTATCCTGTAACACCCACCAAAGTAAATAAGTCTTAGTACAAAATCTACTTTGTACACCACTTTAAAGCATTGAAACATACCGGATCATATGCTCTATAAAACCTATGAGCACATACTTTGATACAAGCAAGCATAAACACACCACAGGAGTTGCTAACCAAGCATCACAAAAGACGATTAATTTCCAGAATAAAACCATAGATAGAAACTCTTCCTATTGCAACAAAGACTAAACGTAACCAACTCGCATACAATCCACACAGTTCACAACAATATACAAGAAAAAAGGACATCTGTAAAGAGAAAAAGGGATGAATTTGATCCATGGATTACCAATCAGGTTGCTTAATCGAAAAAATTCTCTTCGCCCAATTTTGAATGTGCCCTAATTCCCACTGTGGATCATTTAACTAGACCATCAAATCAACTCCCCTGTTCTGTTGGATGTGTTTAAAAGCAACATCAGACTCAAATTAGTATTCACTATGCAAACGACCAACAAAAAATATTACTATTAGAAGAGAGGTTGTTACCAGCTCTGTACAATGGCAGCATGTTCCTCAAAAGGATTCTCATACAATGAGTCGATAATCCGAATTTCGTGAGCCTTTAGCCCAAAGGCTAAGCACCATCAATGTTCACCATCTTCAGCTGCCACCTCCAGCACTAGGATGAAAACCTAATGCAGAGAATGAAGAAATCAAGTAAACAAGATTACTTTGAAAACAAGTACGTTATCATATTAATGATAATATCAATGATACTCACACATCTAATTTGGCTTAGAGGGATTGTGAGGAAGGATTTCCCTCACTTCCTTACCAAATGCTCATGATTCTTCTTCCCCAAGTTAAGCATCAACTACATAAGCACAGAACAAAGAAACATTAACTAACACATATTACTGAATAAGGGAAACTGAAACTGAGTTCAACCATAACGAAAATGTTACCTCATATGACGGGTCCATTAAAATACTTTTGCTTCGTCCCAGGAACTCCTTCCGTGCCAATGATTTTGTGTACAGTTTAGCTGACATCCACACGTAATGATCACCAACCCGAGCTCTACCAGACAAAACCTGATAACAAACTTGCATCGATGCCATCGCATTCAATTATCGTTGGTCCGGGACTAATAAGCGACAACATAAAAAAATATATAATTATTTATAATCTGAAACCAATGCCACCAAATTACCTATATAATGAAGAATTTAAATGACTCACAGTGTATTATCCCTCAATTCCTTCCAACCACAAACAAAGGTCATCAAGCGCTTATCCATCGGGGTAACAACAGAGGTCTTGCTTCTAGTGCGACAGTTACCAACCACAAGAACGGAGGAATCCTTACTACTACAAGAATATTCAACATCCTTGACCTTGTTACCTGATACCGAATTAGTTTTTCTATTCATTTCAAAATCTGTCACAGTCTTGCTGGTATGTGTTTTGCCATTGTTTGAACGGACATTGCCCTCCTCATTGGTAGGGATCCTCGACTTCTCATTGCTTTCCTTCCCATTGCTTCCATTACCTAGAGCATTAGCCACAACACTCTCAATAGCACTGACTAGCTTTGTTGTCAATTGAGCTAGAAACTGACCCACAGAAAAGTTCACATTAGTATAAGCTTTGAGATAATACACTGCAACACAGACAAGTTCACAACATAAACCGAAAACTTACCCGATCAAGGATACCAGTCATCATTTCATCACTAGTGCCATTTTTCTTGCCACCTCTGTCCTCTGTTACTACAGGTTGATCCTCCCTTGGTACCAGAGGAGGCTCCTCACCGTATGCAATATTCGCAGCCTATCATGTTATATAGGATGCATTCAAAGAATTAGTGAAACCAAACTTAAACCAAACTTATTCAATGAAAACATCAACTAACAACAGTAAAATTACTCATCGGCAACCTGTCATACTCATTCTTCATCAACCTATCTTCACTCAAAGCTTTCTACACCTCATCAGTCTTCCACACCTTCACCCTTGGGTACACGTTTCATTTCACCGGAACACGATGTAAGTGATCCAGATAAAAAATCTACATCACAAATGCAAATAAGAGATTTCATACACTTAATCAATAACTCCAAAAGAAGATAGACCAAAAAGAAGTAGGTAGGCAAGTAAGTTGTTAACACTCACCATAACAAACAATAAACTACCCCCACAAACAGATCTAAAACCATCTTTCTGAAACTTCCTTTGAAATCTATTTGCAGTGTTGCATACCCAATTGAACGTTAAGGTACACCAATCATACTTGTATGCCTCACTAGCAATTGTCAAGCAAGGAACTAATGACGCCGCCAAATTAGAACCATTAGTGGTCGTACAAACCACTTTCCCAAGCACCACAATTAAAAATGTAAACATAAAAAGCTCCTTGTCAACTTCATTTTCCAGGGGCACCGGCTTACCTGCACTATCCAACGGACACAATGCCGCCGAAACAAATTTCAATGACACATTTTATTTATCCTTACCAACCCCATACAAAACAAAAACCCTACGCATCTTCTCCACCTTCTCCTCATCATCCGGATCCATATCCATGGGAACTGGTTTGGCATCGGAATCCCAAGGACTGAACTCACTTGATTAGCACATAGAGGTAAAATCTCTCCTTCCCCAAATACCACTGTACCATCAGCCCTCACTCTTGTAATCAACCAGTAGCACAATTAAATTGGTATATAATCCAAGTCTAAATTGAGCAGCGCATCGAAACCCATTGTTGTCACTAGCTCCCGTCTTCTTTCATCAAAATAGGAAACAAACCGGCAAAAGGACTCAACTCTACAAACAATGTTGGGTACTGAAACCAAAACAAAAATGCATCCAATCATTTCAAAATCAAACACATATAACTAACATTTTCAACCAAGAAAACTAAACAAATAAAGAAAAATGATGCATAATAAAGTCAAGTAAACAAGGAAGATACGGAAGCACACAAGGGTAAGTCCTATTCAACACTATCTGAACTAGTCTGTGATTTTGATGATCTTTGGATATTGTTATACTCTGTGACTTCTAAGAATCATGATATAGCATAAGCTCTGTGAAAAGCACACAAGGGTGAAAGTGTGCTATCATGACCTAAGAAAAAACCGAGGAAGTTTGTAGGTATGACAAAATGATGGTCAGGTTTGTTACGTTGTGTTCGAAAGCTTCGGGTTCCACTCAAACTACTGCAGTGGTGATGCAAGCACTACAGTTAGTTGAATTGAAAGTGGAGGAGAAGTTAGCAATGCTTGCGAAAAAGAGTGGTCAAGGTGTAGGAACACCATCATCAGTTTGTTTGGAGAAAGAAAAGGACTCAACCCCATCGACTCAAAGACAGGGTAGCTATGAGGGTCATGGTGATGGCAATGATGACAATAGGGTAGCTGTTGAAGAACAAGATGTTCATGTGAAAGACCCACCCTTACTTAAGAGGCTAGCTCATCGCACCACTGATTCGAGGTACAAGTCAAGTCTCGAGAAACCAAAGAAGGCAAAGACAACGAAGAACACACAAGGCAAGAACACACAACACAAGAACACACAAGGAAAGAACATGACTATTTCAGAAGCCCAAAAAACTGAACCTTCCTCAAATGGGGTAAATATTCCATCAATTCTTCAATCCTTATTACTAATGAGGCATATTCTGAATTTGAGAAGCCTTAATTGTTATATTATACTTGCATCATATTGGTGTGTCTATGTTGGTATTTTGGTAGGCTGTATATGTGCAGATATATGTGTATATGTGCAGATATAGGTGCATATATATGTCCAAACTCCAAAGGCCCTAATCAATTTAATGTGTAAAATTGGAACAGTCATTGCACTAATTTTAATTAACTCAGATTAATATGTAGCTGTGGAATCAAGTACTTCTATGTTAGCAGCTGTGGAATCAAGTACTTAAAAGATGTCATTTAAGGCATATACAGGGGAATACAAGTTATAACCTTAACACAAAAGCAATCTCAACTAACCAAACATGAAAATGAAACACAATATCAAGTTATATGGCAAAAACAAAAAGCCTTTCCACATTATACTCCCATCATTCATCATAGACCAGAACATGCAACAGAAACAACCAGCCATGAAACAACAAGGCATGTACCCAAAAGGCAACTACAACAAGGCAACTCATGATAATAGGGAACATGACCAACAACAACACATGATAATAGGCACTCAATATAAGACAGAACAAGTTCAAAAATTAACAAGACAAGTATTACCTTTCCTACATTGTCAAAGTGGGTCTTCAAAGCCAGCCCTTTGCTTATTACCTTATTCCCTTTGCTTATTACCTACATTACATATCACAAGGCACAAAGTTCACAGAGTCGTCATATAGCATACACATAAAGCGTAATGGTTGCAATAAAATAAGACAAAAAACTATACCTTCTGCCTCTTGTATGCATGCTCATGTTCTTTGCCTCTCCTCTTCTTACTCTTCCTCATCAAGGTCTTAAGCAAGTTGTGCACCCCCGATTCCAAAGAAGAGGACTCCCCTACACTCTCTGCGTATTATTGGAACCATTGTCTTCAGAATTATCATCATACTCATACTCCGAATCATCAAAGACTTACTTACTATTCTTTGCCTTTGCTTCACCCACTTTGCTTTTGCTAGCAGCCACAGTCTTGGAAGAAGGATCATTGACTTTCTTGAGAGGATCCTTGACATTCTTGGGATCTAGTCACCAACACATTCGTTTCAGTACTGCACACATTTCAACCACAATACTCTAAATAATCAGTAAGAATTAATCACCACAAATTGTTTCCAACACTTATTCTTCGATCGCACAACTCTATTGCTTCTCATTTTCTACCAAATTAGAGAAACAGGATCATCAAAACCATGTACACGGATTAACCTTGAATTTCATGGTTTCAAACCATACACAATTGACAAGGGCATAAACGCGTCGTCAATTGTCTATCCCTATATCAAATACAATTTATACAACCTAAACAAACCTAATACGAGTATAAGGCAAGCATAGGGGTCGAACCACATAGAACGGTAAACACCACCAAATGTTATCGACAATTAAGCTAGTCCGGAATAGGAGATAAATAAACTAAAGTCTAAAGATGCTAAAACAAGAAATAAAACATTAAGGCACCAAGGGAAATGGGTAGGTGAAGTTGACGCTTGACCATACAATAACAAAGTAGCATATCAATGGTAAACTAAACATGCATGAATATCGAAGTAAAGGGTCCAATCTAGCCGCCTTCCGGGGTCAATTGGCTTCTCCTAACATAGCCTCTATGTTTCCATATTAGAACCATATACTAGGAGGTACTATTAAATAACAATCGATAGTAATGAATCTCAACTAAGTCAACTTCCGTTACTTGTTAGTAAAGACTCATCTTTGATCAACTAACAATGTGCACTTGTAAGAAAGACCAAAGAATATCAAGCATGCAAAGACTTTAATCACCATTAACATAACCCCAACATTAAAAGCATGAACAATTAGCAACTACACCATCCCCACACCCTTGGCTAGATGACTACTCACAAATCATATTGAAAACAATATCAATCATCAAATCAATAAGTATCAACATGATTAATAAGCAAAGAAGAAAAATAAAAGCAAATAAGCAAAATCAAAAACAAAGGTAAAGAGAAAGAGTAAGAGATTGCTCATTAATTGAAGATGAAGGTCTACAAAGGATTGAACAAGCTCCTTCTTCAAGATCCAAGTTCATTAATGAAGAAAACCACACTTTCTCTCTCTACCAATGAAGACTAATCCTAACCTAACCTAAAACTAATTAGAGAGAAGAATAGATGATTATTGAATATCCCTAAATTACCCAAAAAATGGGTATTTATACTAACTTAATAAAACTAGGGAAAAAAATAGAAAAAGAAAAGAAAATAAAATAAATTAAAAAGGAAAAGTAAAAAATAGAAAACCAAAATAAAAATAGAAATAAAAGAAAGAAAATAAGAAAAGAGAAAAGAAAACAAAGAAAATAAAAATAAAAGAAAAGCAAAACAAATCCCCCACCCACAAAACAATCAGACACCCTTCTTCGAATAACATGGCTGCTCTATTTTTCGATTATCATACCACCATCATCAACCATTATCATTAAATCAATGCTCCAAATCAATGGCTATCAACACCAATTGCATCATCATCGTTCGATCTTCATTAAAAATCATGTGCGAGGCTCGTGAAATGGTTCGGTCGAACCAATGGTTGGTTCGACCGAACTACGGGGTTGGTTCGGTCGAACCATGGGTATGTTAGACCACTCCTCTTCGAATAACAAAATCCCCAAAGTCTCTGACTCGACGTTCGGCCGAACACTCATAGGTTTGCTCGAACTTGATTAATTTGCAATTTGTTCTGATTTTTGGGTCGATTGGTTGCTTAATTGGTGGTGGTTGTTGACGGTGGTGTAGGTGCGCTGATTGTGGTGGAAGGAGGAGATGAATTGTGATTGGAGGCTGGTGGTTGATTGCGAATTGGAGCAGGGGCTGTTGCTCTGAGTTGCGGTGGTCAGGTGGTTGGTGCTGGTGTGTGATTGCTGTTGTTGTGAGGTGAATTGGAGCAGGGGATAGGAATGCGTGGTTGGTTTGGGCAATTGCGGGTTGGTTTGGTTGGTTGAATGGTGGAGTATTGGTTGCGGTAGGGGAGGTGTATTGGTGTGGGTTTGGTTTGGGGTGTGGTTGTTGCGGCAGCTGTGCGGTGGTGTGAGGGTGGCTGCTGTTGGTTTGTGGGAACGGTGGGCTGTTGTGACTGGTGGTTTGCGTGGTGGAGGTTAATGTTGCTGTTGGTGTTGGTGGTGTTGCGGGGTGAAGCAGGGGAAGAGCTGCTTGTGTTGTTGGTGTGTGTGTTGTGGAGGATAAGGTGTGGGGTGTGGGGTGTGGTGAAGGATAAGGGGCAACATGGGTTGGCTCAAGTTTTGCGCCTCGAACCTTGGACCTCCGAACACGAATATGACCTTGAAACCCGGGACACCTACAACCAAAAACACGAGGGTATTACTAAGAGATAAAATAAAATAAAATAAAGAAAAGGTAAAATAAAGTAAAATAAAATAAGATAAATAACACTAAACTAATAAAAATTAAATAAAACTATACAAGTAAAGAAAGTGAAATAAAATAGACTCAAAACTAATTAAAATAAATAAAAGTAAATTAGAAAACTTTCAAGAAAAAATAAAGAACGAAATATAACAAATCAAAAGCAAATAAAATACGAAAATAAACTAAAAACTATGAAAAGAACTAAAACGCGACAAAATTATCAAAATAAACTAGAAACTTTATTAAAGAGAAAACAAGAGAAAGAAAGGGAAAATAAGATAAAATAAACGCGAAAATGACTCTAAAAATACTTCCTAAGAGTGACATAAATGTCACTCATCAACAATTACTAAACCAAAAAAAGCTAAATACAGGAACATCAAATACACAACCTTTAAACGAGCCCTAACTCATTTCATAAATACAGGAACATCAAATACACAATCTTTATACGAGCCCTAACTCATTTCGCGACTAATAAGATGATTCCCATAAAACCTAATAACATTGAAAAAATCCTAATTCAACCCTTACTCGAAATTGAACAAACCCCAACTTCAATTAGACCATAATTATACGAGCCCTAACTCATTTCGCGACTAATAAAATGATTCCCATAAAACCCAATAACATTGAAACAATCCTAATTCAACCCTTACTCGAAATTGAACAAACCCCAACTTCAATTAGACCATAATATTCGAACTCAATGAACTCAATAAGCTCCAACACAAAAAAAAAAAAAAAAAAATAAAAAAAATAAAAAAAAATTGTACTTACTTAATTTAGCGCCTTTAGCTGCAGCAAGTCTTCACCGACGAGATTCACCTTAACAAGTTTGCGAATTACGGCAAAGCTATAAAGCAAGAGATGCTGAGTGAGAGGAGGGAGTGACAGAATGAGAGGAGCGAGGAGAGAGCAGAGAGAACAGTAGGAGTGAGGGAGACAGAGAGAGAGGAGTGAATAAAAGAGGAGAGGGGTAATTTTTGGGAAATAAAAAGCAAATGTACGAATACAATACACCAAACACTACCAAATACGTGAGAAAATACCGAAATACACTCGAAACGGGCTGACATAGAGTAGAACGGGAGCTGAGGTGGAATTTAACTCAGCTGAGCAAAATTCATGTGAAATGAATTTCTAGCCCCTTAAACTGCATTTATTCGTACCTAACGAGACTGCATTGGGAATGCTCATAAAAGTCCATTGATTCTCTTGCCAGACCAATAAACAATTATTTTCTCAGCAAAAGCTCCTACATTGGGCACGTGGGCTTCAAAAAGTTCATTTGGCATCATTGATGCTCAATTCGTATATCTTAACCAACTTTACAATTGTCTACAGAAACAGTAAAGCAAACTCAAATAGTACGTGAAAATGACTTTGTAAATCAAAGCGGGTAGTGGTTGCTAGATCTGGTAGGTACGAAATTGGGTATATAATTCCAAGCAGGTTGCGACTTGCAATATCTTGTTCGTACGTATAAGGTATGTATTCGATGCGGTGGTTGCGAAAACACCTTCCCCTTAGGGATTAGCCATTCCCTTAATTTCTAGTATTTCACATAGGGTTTTCATTGTTCTTCACCAATAAAAATGGATTTGAGGTTTGGTTTTCACCATTGAAGTATCTTGAAGAAGAAAATGAAAAAGATTAAGGTGTTTGGGGATCAGAGAAGGAGGAAAAAGATGAAGGTGCTAGCAGGGTTGGGAATGTAACGGAAGGTGGAAAGGAAACCATGGAATAATCATGGAGATGGGTAATAGTGGAGTGAGGGGGAAGATGATGGTCAATTTTTTTTTTTATTAATTTTTTCCAAAATGTAAAAGCTGAATTGAAGAACAAACAGCCAAATTGAAGAAGAAAGAGGCTAATGTGTCAATGCTCATGGGTTTGGGTAAGTGAGAGGCTGCATCAACTAACCATGGTTAGTTTTGTTTACTTGATGTCGATATAACAGCAGAATTTCCGTCTAATAAATTTAGGCATAACTATCCTTACTTTTACACGCAAAAAGACAAAAATACCTTGATATAAACACCCCCTGTTTCCATTAGATATCAACTCGGCACACTTATAAAAATTAAAAGTCTCTATTCTCTAATGTCTTATAGTGAACATTTACAAATTACAATTGTCATAGGGGAATAATGATAATTTTGTCTTTATTTGGAAATCAAAGGTTACTACAGAGTAAAATTCACATAAGACTCTTAGAGGGAAAACAAATTATAGTAATAAATAATAAAAAATGGTTGGGATTACAAATATTAGTAACATTTTGATAATTTTATTACCATTAAAATCATGCAAAGTAAAGCTGTAAATTTCAGTATTTAAGTCGGGTTCATATTAGGTAAAATCATGTCTTGGGTCAAATCAGAAACCAAGTTATGTCGGGTCAATCTAGCCTCATATAAAGTTCAGGTTCGAGTCGGATAAATTTCAATTCAGGTTATTCCGGATCGTGCACTCTTTCGTTGTAGGTTGGTTTCGATTCAAGTCAAATTCAGATCGCGTTCAATATCAGGTTAGCATTTTCTTAAGTCGGGATTAGGAAGGTTAACAGGTAGTACATTCAGGTTCAGCTTAGGGTTGGGTAAAATAATTTTTTGGTCAGATAATCTTAAAGTTTGATCATTCTTGGTTTTGGTATAAGTTCAATTCGAATTAATATCAATGTGCTCAAGTTGAACCTATACTATTATACCTTCCATAATTTGATCAAGCTTATAAAGATTTTATTAAAAGTATATATACAAAGTAATAGAGAATATAAGGTATATAACCTGAACAAAATATGTTGTTATGTTTTTAGAATTGTACCACTATATAAGCTGAATAAAAGGTATATAAAATTTTATTCAATCTTCCATGACTCGGGTGAATAACAGGTTGTGTTGGGTTATAACCATTTTAAGGTTTTAATTGGGTCAGGTACTAG